TATGGTTAAAGCTAAATAGTGGTAAATATGGACCGCCACAGAAGACCTTCTAGACCTCATTGGGAAGAATGAATGTTAAGGCCCTGCTGAAAGAAGGCATTTAGGGACGTGACCTTGTGCTTTGCACTGAGACTCCACTGACTTCAGTGGACACATGCTGGACACATGTCCAGCAAGGCCTGTTTAGAACTAGCCCGACTTTAATGAGTCTTCTCTGAGGTAACTGTGCCCTTGCTGGAGCAGACAATCTGGCAAGGAAATGCCCTAATTACAAACAAACAAAATGCCAGAACGGCCTGAAGCTGCATGGCAATTGTACCAACCCTAGGGTAAGAAAAAACCTAGGTCTTCTGCACATGCAACTTTACTGCAAAGGCTGTTTGCCGATTGTGGTTTGGCTTGGTTTTTCCTAATCACTTCCAATCCATTTTTCTTAAGTCAACTCTTGCCAGACATTGGCATAACCTTTAGCCATTTTGCTGCAAATTGCTTAACTTCTGAATGTCATGGACAACCTGGAGCATGTCTGCAGGACAGTTTATTACATACATTATCAAAACAGTATGGATGTCAGCACTGCTGACAGTGCTAGATGTGGGATTAAAAGGCTGAGTTCCCCCCCTCCATGAACCCACAATGAGTATCTTTGGCCTAATCCAAACTACCTCACAGGATGGGAACAACAGGGGTTTGCAGGAACAGCATCCACTGTCTTGTAGCTAAAGCTCATCTCTCCGTGGCACCTCATGAGCCTTTCTCTCTGTGCAGCTCCACATTAATATTCAAAACTAGGCAAGACTGTAAAATTTTTCAGTAGGATCATGATTTGATCTTCTATTGGCATCAAGCTCCCTATAGCATTGAAGGGCTTTTGTCATCTTAAAGCTGTTTAACTTTCACTGCTTTCCTCTCCTTCACAGGTTAGCGGGCTGCCGACTCCAGATGTGATGTGGTATCAGAATGGAAGGATGGTTCATCAAGATCAGTTCCATAAAATGATAGTGTCAGAAAAGGGATTCCACTCATTTATTTTTGAAGCAGTCAAATCATCTGATGCAGGGACATATGAATGTGTGGCTGTCAACCGTGCAGGAGAAGCGTCTTTCGCAGTAAAAGTGGAAGTAATTGGTAAGACTGAGAGCACTGATAATTATCTGGTCACACATGGAAAGTCTCAGTAATCTAATGCCTTCTTCTGTGTGTTTGGGACATAAAACAATTAAGAAGCAGACGTAGATCTCCAGATATTCAGGCTCAAAGTATAACAAACACCTTACCTTTTCCAAGACTGTTTTAATACATACATCTGAGATGACATATTTCTTCAAAGCACTTCTAGTGGGATATTTAGATGTAGTGGGATGTCCAGAATTTGGGAGTTATTAATCTCCCAGAATTGATAATATATGTTGATTGACTCTCCTCCTAAAGTGGATTGTGTCTACTACACCCTTATGCTCATGGGAATTGCCTGCAGGCTAAGGAGTTGGGTTGAAGAGTATCTTACGTTTTACTGAATCTTTAGGTTGTGAAATAATCGACTAAAAGAACATTTTGATTCCAATAAGTTAGCCCCCATGGTAGCGTTATGTATTGGATGCTGTGTTACTTATTATTTGAGGCTGTGTTGCTTGAAGTCCCTATTCCCTATTCTCTGGACTCTCTAGACCATAACCAGAGCCCCTGGGTTCTATTGTATATGGGATGAGTTATTTGACAACCTGGCAAGGTAGATATCTAGCTGGCCAACTTGGCAACAAAACCTACTTTTAAGGTGTCCTGAAGTGAAATGCCTTCATTATAATACTAAAAAACACACCCACAGGTCAAGAAGACCCTTGCCCAGGTGAAGACCCTTCCCCCACGCAAGCATAGTAACAGAAGAGAATGACATAACCTATATTATAATTATATGTAAATCACTAACCAGTCATTGTAACTGGGAGTGTACTACCTTATAATTTTTGTGTATAAATGTAACGGTGATCTAGCCATAGGTGTGCTTGATTTGTGGAATTCCACCTTGCACCCGGCGCCGTAATAAAGAATGCCTGCTTTCTAAACCTCCAAAATGGAGTCTTAGAGAGTTCATCATCTGCCGACTTACGGTAACAGTTGCAGTAAGGAACATGTGCCCTCCTGAATTTAGCATTCTGAAATCTTAAAGAACAAGCCTGGTATTAGCATTCAATACTTACAGTAACTCGTTCTTATCTTTCCTCTTTAATTTAGCAAAAGAACATCACACACCTCCAACTTTCATCTTCAAGCCACAAAGCAAAAAGGTTTTTGAAGGAGATACGGCCAGACTTGAATGCCAGATCTCTGCTATCCCAACACCCCGGATTTACTGGAAAAGAAACAACGAAATGGTACAATATAATACAGACCGAATAAGGTATCCTACTAATGAGTTGGCCATTGGTGTGTTAGAAAACAATAACTTTGTTAAGTCAAATTTGAATTGGCTGATTTCTAAAAGCAGCAAGCTGGAAAGCTAGATCTGCCCCTCGTTTATGGCACATGGTGAACAGGCCCATGTGCTGGACAGGCACGATGCTCCAAGTCTTTTTTTAAGGGCACGGAGAGAAAACTGTGACCAGATGCCACTCTGAATTCTAGCAGCAGAGAAGGCCCACAGAGAAGCATGCCTTTAGGACTGAAACATGCAATGCATTCATCATGCTCTGAGGCTGTGGGGCTACAGAAGGGCCTTGATGCCACATGAATGGTATCATGTGAATTGCTGGTGGCTCACAACACAAATGTGGTGTTTATGTCTAAATAGTTTGCAGTGCCCTGCAAGAATTGTTCTAGGGCTTTCTCAGCTCCTCAGCATGTAAACTGACTCTCTGATTTCAATGTCTTCACTCCTTCCACCTCCAAGCACTTACACATAAACACCTTCATTTTTCAGCTTGTTACATGACAATACTGGAAGGATTTGCCTCCTGATTCATAATGCAAACAAGAAAGATGCTGGTTGGTATACCGTATCTGCTGTCAACGGAGCAGGTGTGGCCACATGCCATGCCAGGCTGGAAGTTGCAAGTAAGTACCACATCACAGTGCCACAACCACAACGGAAACTGCCACTGGCACTTATATTCAGAACAGACCCCCAAGATTAAATCACAGAATCATTTAGGTTGGAAAAGAGCTTTAAGATCATCGAGTCCAACCGCAAACCTAACACTGCCATTAACCTAATAAAGCTTGGACTGCTGGCAGGATTTCTTTCCCAAGATACTGAAACTAGACAGAAAGTAACTACCTCAGGAAAAATTCATATTTGTTTAATGCCCAGACACTACGTGATGTGTCCTTTGCATATTGTACGCATCTGCTATCTGCGCTGTTTAAAGACTACAACTCGATTGATACCAAGAAGGAAGGTGAATATAGTCCTTTCCATAACTCTCTGGTATCTGAGATATGGACTTGTCTGTCAAATTCTTCCTAAGGGGTTCCTGGTTTATGTGGCAGATAAAAAGCAATTGGGTTGCTCTACCATGGGTGTTTCCACAGTCTAAGACACTTAAAGAGGCTTTTTTCTCTCTTCCAGCACATGCAATCAAGCCAGTTCCAGCCGCCAAGCAGTTACGGGTTCGACCAACTTTTAGCAAGTATTTGGCACTTAATGGAAGAGGACTGGATGTGAAACAAGCTTTCTCACCAGAAGGAGAGTTTCAGCGTTTGGCTGAGCAGTCTGGACTGTATGAAAGCGATGAACTTTAACTGGAAATGAAGAGGAAAACCCACACCTATAAGAGACAATTACAACATAGATGCAGTTAACTGGTGATTGCTCTAATTAGCAAAATACCTATCTACATATTTTTACTTTGACTCTTGCACATTCAGCTGTTCCCATTTTACCATGTTAGATTTTATTTATATGGGTTGGTGAATATAACCATTTACTGAGAATTGTATTTTAACTATAAAGCCTAAGAAAGCAGGCTAATTAGTTTTTACAAGTGTGGGTGGGTTTAGTTCCACCTGTGCTTGGTTACATGCTGAAGTAGATTGGTTTGTACTGCTTCTCTAATATCACTTTTGATGATAATATCAGAAGTCTGTACTGTCTGAATACTAAAACTAAATAGACTAGAGTGTTTTTATGAGAATAAATTAGAGGCAAATAAAATCCAACATTGACTGTGACTCTTCCTTGATCTGTTAAAACCAGCTACAGATGTCAGGCATCAGCTGCAGCCTGGCAAAGATGGATCCTTACCCTACTAAGTCTGCCACTGCTCCCCTCCCTTTCCTGCTCTCCCCATTACTTGTCTCCTGATAGCTATAAACTATTTAGTATAAACTAGATACTGACACTCCCTTAACACTAAAACACGTCAGTGAATATTTTTTCTCCTTGCACACTTGACCCAAAAGCTGCGCTGTATAATATGAAGCAGTAAGGCTACCACCTTTCCCCTTTCTTACTCTTTTAATCAAGGAGTAGCTGTGACTTACCTGACTGTTGGCTCTCAACAAGCTGTTGAGCTGAATCATCCAAACAGTTTGCATGCTGCTATTCACAGCCACCTTGCTCAAAATAATAATAAACACCACAAAACCTGATTTTGCCAAACTCCAACAAACCTAATTTCTGAAGATTTTTCAGCTGCAGTTGCTACAGGAAAATTTGTGAGGATGGAACCAGCCTGAACTCCTCTCGGGGGGTGCACAGTAACGCTGCTGCTAGTCAGTAAACACCACGAGAATCTTCCAGAATGGAAAAAATGAGGTCTTGACCTCACGCCACACCGCTGTATCATTAAATAAAACCCCCAAATCTGAACTGCACAACACTGACTATTAAACTCCCAAGAAAATCCTGCAGCTCTACCACCACGCTTCTCCTGCGGGCTGCCCGAGCAATGAAATACACTAAAATAACTCCCCCCGCTGACGCTCTTTGTGGGTTTGAGCTGATCAAAGCAGACTGATACCCAGTTCCCCCACAGGCTTCTTTTGAACGTAAAGGCACTGCGATGCTTGGGCGAGAGTGCGGTATCAGCGCTGAGCAGCAGTACCAGGTCTGGCACAGGAGCATCCTAAGTTCTCCTAACGTCTGGGAGCCCCAGCAGCACCTGAGCTTGCAGCGTTTGCATTAATATACATGTAAATGAACATATCCTGTGTTCCCTGCCGCTCTTCACAGCGGGAAGGGAATTTCCTAATTGGCTGAATTTAGCCTGGAAGCAACCAGGCGCTGCAATTTATCGTTTAATTTCCCCCCGAAGGAACGGCTGCCAACACGGGGGATGGAAGCGCGGGCTCTATCAGGCACCGCTGCTGCGGCCCTGCGGGGCTTTGCAGGGGGCAGGCCGGGACAGACCCGCTGAACACCACTGACAGAATTAAACAACGATAATAATGAGCTCCCGGGGCGGGAGGGGCAGA